CTCCACAGCATCCCTGTGACCCTCTCCCTGCTGGTGCCTCCTCCTCTGCAGAACCCTCCTCCTCTCTCCAGCCAGTCTCAGTGAACTGGGAAGAAAATCCACCCCACGTTTCTCCTCTCCTTTCTCCTCATGGCACCTTCTCCCTCCATGTGCAGGGAGGTTCCACTTAAACAAGAGGAAAAACTTCTTCACTGTGAGGGTGCTGGAGCCCTGGGACAGGCTGCCCAGAGAGGGTGGGGAGTCTCCATCTCTGGAGATGTTCAAACCCTTCCTGTGCAACCTGATGTAGGGAACCTGCTTTGTCAGGGGGGTTGGACTGGATGATCTCCTGAGGTCCCTTCCAACCCCACCAGTCTGGGATTCTGTGTGACTGGTTTATGTCTCCCTGTGTTTCCATCTGGCTCCACACTTTTTCCCCTTAACAGAAGCCTGAAGAGCCACTCCCTGTGGCTCCCCCTCAGGTGGGGCATCTGCCACCACACACCTTCCATGTAGACAAGCAATGGGAGAGAGACTGCAGTAGGAACTGTCCCCCAGCTGCCTCCCATGGTGTCCCCTGCCCTTTGGCTGGTGGCTTTGGTACCTTTTGCTACTCACACACCCATACGAGCTCTTCTACCCCTCACTAGTTTCAATGGCAGCTGAGCTGGGACCCTTGAGTAACATCTGAACCATCCCTCCTGGCAGCCCACTCCTGCTTCCCCTTTCTGTGAACTTCCTTTTCACATCTGGGCTCAGGCAGGGGTTCCCCCTGGGGCCAAGCCAGTCTTCTGCCTCCTCTGCCTCCATGGTTCAAACAGTGGAGTTTGGCCAGCTTGGTGAAGTATTTGGGCACCTTAATTGTTAATCAAGGTTAAAAAAACCCAAAACTTCATTTTGGTTGAAAAATCTTTATTCACATAACACATCACATGAGTCCCATCATCTCCTGCCCCTGCCCCTTTAGGTATAAAATACTGGTAAAAAGGGGTTTTTTTTTCCAGAGGCAAGTTCGTTTCCACACTGTCCTCTCGTGAGGAGTTCATCCAACCGCTGGAACGTCTGTTGTGCCACAGAAGCCCAGGACAGAACAGCTCTGCCGAAGGAAATGTTGGCATCAGTAAGAGAGGAAGTTCACAGAGAGATGCAGCAGCGACGTGTGAAGCCACCAGCGTTTCAGCTCCGTCTCATTCCATGTTAGCACGGATCTTGACTGCAGCTGTGCTCCCCTGTGGCACACTGTGACAACAGAGGCTTTGAGGGTTTTCCACCAACTGTCTGAGACAGCACAGATGCTCTTCAAATCATTTGGGACTTAACATGTGGTGCACATTTGTTTGAAGTTGCACGTCATCAAATCCAGTCACCTACGTGGTTCCTGTCAAGCCCCACATCTCACCTTTAGATGTAGCAAGGACACTTGGCTTACAAAAGGGACATCAGCCTACACAAGAACAAGGAGACTCGAAAAGGGCAAAATAAATGAACAGAGAAACATCTATTAAAATGCCAAGCTAGTCTCAAAAAATAAATTAAAAACAAAATAAATCCAGTTCCAATTATTTTATGGCTCCTACCACAAGCCAAAAAAGGAAACAAATTGGCTGGAGTCCCACCTTGGTTTAAGACAAATCCTGCTACATCAGGTCACAATGATATAAACTTGAAACATCGTCAAATGACATCCTTTAAACACTACAGTTATAAAATCAAGGTGGAATTGGACCAGTTTAGATCTGCCAGGGATCCCTTACCAGGTGCCCAGGTGATCTCACAGAAGATGATCTCACAAGTGCACAGTATGCTAAATCTATCTGATTCCAGATGTAAAATAAAATTAAGGTATCTTTAGATTTAAGATACAGATTGAAGGTACAGTAAGACATGATCTGTCACTGCAGACTTCCTCTTTTGCTTTTAATTCCTCAAGTCCCTCAGGCTCAAATGAAAACCGACTCTGTGCTTGGTCTGGCGATGCGTTTCCTTGGGAAAGCCCAGCAGACCGAGGAACATGAAGAGGACAAAACACTTGAGAAGCATCAAACACATTGAGAA